AGGCCCCCCCCCCTTTTTTTTTTTTTTTTTTTTTTTTTTTTATCTTCCACCTCTTTACCATGAAAAATATTTATCAAATTTTTTATGATGATAATCAAAATTATTTATTTTGATACAGAATTATATTCTTTCTATTTCTAAAACTTTAAAGAAATTTTTTAAAATTCATCAATTAGTCACAACAATCTTAAAGAGAAAATTTGATTGTAAATTAAAATTCCTTTTTATAAAATATTTATGATGAAAATAAAAATTATTGCTTTAGATATTGCTAGTAATGAGATTGAGTTATCATTTCCTAAATTTTGTTTTGCTGTGGCAAAAAATGAACATCGGTGGTCATAATAAATAATAAATTGTTTTAAAGAAGCTAATATGTATAACTAATTGAAAATGTTTATATGGAGGTAAAGAATGACAACCTATTAAACATGATCATTCATATGATTCATCAATGATGGGAACTCATGATAATTAAATGTTTTGTTTTCACTTTTACAGTTTTGTAAAGTTCCTTATTCCTTTAAAGTGTTACAGTGATATTTTATTTAATCTTTTAATACTATGGGTTCGTTACTATTTGACCAAGTTTTTCTTTTATTTTTTGTTGAGAAGAAAGCCCACTTCCCAATTGTTTTTATCTCGTTCACGTTGATCTTGTTTTTCGGAACTGTTGCCATACTTGTTCTATATTTTGCAACAAGATCACTCATGTAATACAGGAAAAAGTTGCGAACAAACACAATGAGTTTCACCTTTGGAAAGAGAAAAACATATGCAAAATTTATGTGCAAGAAAATAAGAGAATTTGAACAAATCAATTAATGTTAGTTTTATTTTATCTTCTTATATATCTTTATCAATATTTTTAAATTGAATAATTCATCGATAGATATTAATTCAAAATTTAATAATTTAATCATAATTGAAGTGTGATTAAATTGGTATTAATAAAATAATTATTATTTAAATAATATATAAAATAATATTATATAAGTATAATATTATAATTTTATAATACTAAAATTAAAATAAAAGCATTATTTTTATTTCTTTAAAGTGCATGTAAAAAGTTAATTATAATATTTAAGTTTAAATTTTAATAAAATATAATAATATATATTACTTTTACATTTAGAGTAGAAAAATTTCAAATTAATATAATATATGATATAAAATATGATGATATAAAAAATTATAAATTAATATAATATATGATATAAAATATGATGATATAAAAATAACAAATGACATTATTTATTCAAATTTATAATTTTTATTAAATTTATTGATTTATTTATCATAAAATATTTTAAATAATTTAGAAAAAAAAAAAAATTTTGAAAAGGACCAATTCAACTCATTTTTTTTACTAGTTATTGACCAGTTTTGATCCAGTTCATCTGATTCTTGACGGTTCTTTCATAGCTCAATTTTGTGGTTCTTTCGAATTGGTAGTCTGATCGGTTCCCAATTCAATCGATCAAATTATCTGATTTGATTTGATTTTGGCAACACAGATCTTCACTGCTATTTAGGAGTGTTCTTGTCAACAAGTTTTCCTATCAAAATTATCGCTGAGCTCAAGTACCAGAGTAGTAGCAAAAATTGTCTCGTGGAGAGTGGAATTATTTCTCAAAGGAAATTTTACAAATTCTTTCATAAAGAGAGTAAAAAAAAATAATGTGTCAACACATACTAAATCATTGAGGGGAAGATGATCAACACTCATTAATTAGTCACAATAATAGACACGTGACTCTAAGAATGATGAATCCAAGAATGAAGTTTAATGAGTAACAATGAAGTTGTTTGTTGACTAAAATATGTAAGACTCGCATGTGTTGCTCCTCCCCCTCTCATTTCTATTCCTTCCCTTTCTTCATTCCTTCTTCCTCTTTGAACCTTAAATGGACTAAACCCCCCTCTTTCCTTCACCCTTCACTCTTTAGCTGAAATTGATACATTGTTGGTCTCATTTGCAAGTTGCTGAACCTTAGGATTGCAAGGAAGTCGTTGAAGTTTGTAGTCATTCCTCAATCCTAGAGTCAAGCGGACACTTCTTCTTCTCCTTTCTCTTTAGCTCGGAGCCGAATTCTCCTTCCTCTAAGGTTAGGAAAGCTTCATACATTTATTTTTCCTTGAAATAGTTGAGTTGTTGGGTGCGGATTGAAGTTAAAATGGGTTTTGGGTTGGAATAGAGAAGTGATGATTTGCGATGATCCTATAGTTTCATGTTGTTGTTCTGAGTTGCTTTTAGCTGTTTGATATAGTTGTAAGTGTTTGGAGGTGGTTGCATGTGTTGAGAATTTTCTGATTGCAGGTTGTAGTTCAAAAATGGTGAAGAACATGATGCCTTCTATCATCAAACAACTAAGCCATTTTAAAGGGTTGAGCCCTTGGAGGGTTGCGTGACACAGGTGGATCTCTGGAACCAAAGGATTGAGCCATTTTAAAGGGCTGAGCGCTTTTGAAATGGTGAGTCATTTTAAAGGGTTGAGCCCTTTGGAGGCTGCGTGACAGGGGAGAATCCTTAGAGGCAAAGCGCTGAGCACTTTGGGAGGTGCCTAGTGGTTGGGTGCTTTCCAAATTAATTAGACTTTGTTGTCTTCATGAAAGTTGTAGCCTTGGATGTTAGCTTTCCAATGGCCTGGAATCACCCAAAAAGGAGGTTTAGAACTCCAGTTATGACCTTTTTAGTGAGCAAAGGTCAAGCTATTGCTATCTGTTATGGTTTTTACATTTTTTAACAAGGTAGATGATGGAATTAAGACTTGATGTTTTCATGAGAATTGTATGAAATCTTATTGTCTTTCATATGAGATAAGGATGAGTTGGATAAGAGTAGTATAACTTCATATATGTGGTTTTATGTGAAGGATGCCATTTCACAATAAGTGATTTGGTTAAGTTGAAAGTTATTTTGGGTGCTTAAGTTGATTTATGTTGTTTATTTGTGTAAGTTGGCATGATAAATGAATTTTTAAACATGTTGGTTGAGCTGCATTATGTGTTGAATATTTTGTATGTTGTTAAAGTTGTTTACGAGTTGTGTGTTATCTATTATATGTTGGATATATGATATTGTTGATGATGTTGTGATATATAAGTTGTTTATGCTGTAAAGTTGTTTCAGTTGTTTATGAAAGATGATTAATACTGTTGAAGTTGTTTATAAGGTTGTAAAGTTGCCTGATGAAGATAAGTTGAGTAGTTGTTGGCTTAAGTTGTTTATATGTTATGTATTTGATGAAACTAAGTTGTTTAAATGTTGTCTATTGTTTAATTATTAATAAGTCAAGATGTATAAGTTGAAGTAGTTTATTTTTGTAAAGTCGTTTAAAGTTGTTAAGTTGTATTGAGTTGATTTAAAGTTATCAAGATGACTATTTTTGTAAAGCTCAATGAAGGATGTCTATAGTTATGAATTGAAGTCGTAAAGTTGATATTGTGATGACTATAGTTGCTCAAGTTGTTTATTCAAGTTGTATAAAGATGTCTATTGTTGTAAAGTTGTATAAAGATGCCTATTGTTGTAAAGTTGTAAAGTTGGGGAAATATGGTGAAAACATATGTCTTATGTTGAGATACATAGTACCAAAGTGATTAGTTGAAAGTTGTTTTTTTAAAAAGAAGTTGAATCCCTTTGTATTGTGTGGGTGACATGGAGGTAGTCGATCCATGTTATGGTTGAATGACCAATTTGAGTAAAGTATCAAGTTAGAGATTAGTTTTTGACTAGGTGCTAGAGGGTGCATGGTACTTGAAAGAGTGAGTGGGCTAACTCCATATGTAGATTGGTGATGCAAGCCAAGGTCGTGGTAGGCCCATACCCAAACCCTTCTACCCTGATAGTAGTATTGGACCTCTGAGTTTGAGTGACACACTTGAGCAATAAACTATTATTGTCTATATCTGATTCTTTTCAGAGTTCCTAACGATGTCCTATACCTGACCTGGTTGAGATAGGTCTAACGCTGGATTCAATAGGGTTTATGCCACCTAGACTGCTCAACCTCAGTTGTTGGAGATCTCCTAGTTGTATAAGCATGACGACGCATTAGTTGATGTTGCATGTTTTTTTTCATTCAAGTTGCATATAATGTTGTATGAATGAGTTGATAGTTGAGCTATTGTGATAAAAACTGTGTGGTTGGGTTGTGATGATGAGTTGTTGATTACTAGGACTAGAGGATAATTTTCAAAGTTTTTCATCCCATTGTGCGGATTGAGATAGTTGTGGTACTTTGAGAGTCCAGTTTGTTGAAAAAAAAAACCTCCTTATGAAGTTGTCCCCTGGAGTGGATGATGTATTGTTCTCCTCTAGGACTTAGTTGTTTTCGTGTGTGGGCAAGGTCGAGACACACGTGTATGAAACGACCACGGTATATGAGCTAGGCCAAGTTATATCGATTACAAGCGGCCAATTTGAGTAAAGTACGATGTGTTGAAAATGTTGTTGCTATTAGATGATGTTGTATATATATTGTTGTATGTGTTGTTGTTGCTTCAAGGTGCAAGTTGAAAGTTGAATTCTATTGCTGTTTATTATATGTTGACGTTGGTTTTTTGATGATTATTGTTGTGAGCTTACCCTAGCATGTTTTTCCTTTGTGTTTGGGACTGCGATGACCATACCTTGTATGCAAATAGATTAGGATTAGGTGCTCTGCTGGACTGGGTGAACTTCTTTTTGGTTGAGACTTAAGAGGAGAGCTAATGTTTTATTTAGTTGATTGGTAGCATTCAACCACTTAGTTGTTGTATAGGGTATTATGTCATACTTTTAGTTATATATAGTATGAGACTTTTTAGTTGTGTATTCTCATTGTATATATAATTGTTTAGTAGTGATATTTTATTTTATGCATATATCTGGACGTTATAGATAGTGTGAGACTTGGTAAGTCGTTACAAAATACACAAAAATTATTTATTATATGAACATGTTCTAATTTATATTCCTATGACAATATGTATTTTTTTTTAAATTGTGATAATTATAAGATTGAGGTATTCAAATATTTATATTTGTTGTGTTAAACTTAAATTACCCCTTAATAAATTTGACGATAATAATTGTGGGGGTGAGGGTCATAAGTCACCTCCTTTGAAAGGTTCACTTAGTGGGTATGGTGGTAAGGTTGTCACTGTGAGATATAGTAAAGTCTCTAAGTAACACTCATGAAATAAGATACTCGCACAAGGCTGTAACACACATTCTTAATTAGAACTCAAAATGAACACCATATTATTTGTTTTATGTTCCAAAGTCTAATTAAAGGTAATTTAGCTTAAGACAATCAAGTCTTTGTATTTTTTTAAAGTAGAAGTTTATATATACTAGAAATAAGGCTTATACCCGGAAGGTTCCTTATACTAAAATAGTAATATATCATGCTCCATTAAGAATTGTTTTTAAAGTATATATATAATTTGATTCTTTATTTAAATTTTAAATTAGTGTGTATTGTTAAAATTTTTATTATAATTTAAAATTTAATCAAATATTTTTATTTAATCTTTTTCTATCACAATATTTTATTTAATTATTTATTTAACGTTTTAAAATTTGATAAGATTTTTTGATCAAGTCTTATTCTTTTGTTACTGTTGCTAATGGTTGCTGTTAGAAAAATTTCTTTGCAAGTTAAAAAGTGGTTTAATAGTTTTTATCGCTTTGACTTAGTTTTCAGATTTTAAGGATACACATTTACATATAATTGTCACTACTCCCTATATATGTTTATAGTTCTTAAGGAAAATAACACAGAAGTGAGCAACGCAGATATAGTATATTGAAAAATATTTTTCTGCTTCTATGAGATGTATTTTTATATTATTATAAAGCTTTGTGTATGAAAGTGATATTCTTTGGATTAGGATCATTCACGTGTTGTCGAATTTTAGGATATAAACGTATTATAAATTAATTTACTGGTATAATAAAATATTTTTTTTCTAAGGAACACTTAGCGTATTTTAACTCAAATTTTTTTAAAAATATTTATCTTATTTATTTTTGTATTATTTTAATTTATCATTTATTGATATTTATTTTAATGTAATTTTTTTTATAAATAATATTTATGAAATTTCTATTTCCATGTTTCTGACATCTTCTTCCTCCACCTCTTTCCCATATACCTTGTTGAATTTTCATTTCAAAATATCATAATCCTTTGCAAACAAACACGCTTTGCATTTGTTTTCTTTATCAATAATATTTTCATTGTAGCCATACATTCTGATTGTTCTTGAATAGAAAAGCACGAGCAATTGTGTCATCTATTTAACATCAATCCATGGAACTGAAACTAAGAAAATCTTCTATTAACATTTAATATATTTGTTAGAGCAAAACAAGGTAACTCAAGAATACTTGAAGCTTGAGGGTACTTGAAACTCGAGAGTATTTGAAATCATGGGGATCGGAAAATAGTAAAAGAGAGCTTTGGAAACATGCGAAGTATAAGAAGAATCGGAAGACACTCGAATACATCTTTCGCGAAGCACTCGAAATCCTTAAAACTCTACCACTCATAAAAATGTTTCGCAGTTTCGCAACCTCTCAAAGTGAAGGAGTTAGAAGAGACATGGTTAGAAACAACTTCTGAGTTGACGAAGCACATGCGAAGTATAAGAAGAATCAAGAGACACTCGAATATATCTTTCGCGAATCACTCGAAATCCTAGAAACCTGGCCATTCATGAGCATGCTTCGCAACTTCTCAAAATGAAGGAGTTAGAGGAGACAGGTTAGAGACAGGTCGAACTAAATCAAATGGATAGGTATTAGAGACTACAGAGCGGTTTAGGGGGTTATAAACGTGTTTGTGGAGGATTTCGTCAGAATGCAAAGCGATTTGGGTACAAGGGCTTTTGTTTTCATTTTTGGTGATAGAGAAAAGGCTTGTGTTTAGGTTAAAGGGAGAGTTGGTGGTTGGGATAGAGTTGTGGTTGAGGGTGGCTTCTAGTGGTTTTGTGACTGGTTTTGGTGTGCCTATGTCAATTCCTTTTCTCCATGCAACACTTTACTAAATCCCATTCCTTAATCATCTTAACACATTGAATTACATTTAATGCGAAGATATCTTTTCAGAATAAACTGAAACATTGGTGTACATATATAAATATAAAAATTGCATAGAATTATGTATGTCTACATATGCATAAATTGATGCATGTTAGATGAAACATGGTAAAATTAAGCAACATAGAGTAAGACGATGCAATACTTTTATTCTAAAAAAACATTTTAGACTAATATGGTCTCTGATGAATCTAAAACATTCCCCAGGTAAAACCTTTGTAAAAATATTAGCCCATTGGTGATTAGTGTTTATAAATTTTATGTCAAAACTTCTTTTCAAACATAATCACGAATGAAATGATATCTTATCTCAATGTTCTTAGCCTTGGAATATTGTATAGTACTTTTAGACATATTTATAACACCTATGTTATCACAAAAAATGGGTATATGGTTTTGTATCGTCACGGTCGGATACCGAAAGGATGTCCCTACTTACGATAACTTCGCCATCACCTCAACCGGCTCCCTAACGGCCGCTCGGTTTATAGCCGATTCGACACATGTACACCCTTTTCGGTCTTCTTCCGACACCCCCTCCCTTTAAAGAGCTACTCGGCCTGTGGCCGAGAGTGCATCATAGTTTAAGCCATGTCGGCCTCCACTCTAATCTTTCAGGGCCGACATTCCCCTCGGCTAAGTCCCGACTGGACCCCTTGGGAATGGGCCTAGTCGGTAGCGATTCGACTTATCGTTCCAGTGTTTGACGTAGTATCTTTAAAATAAGAACGGTTAAGGGAAATCCTTAT